ATATTGGAAAATTCCAGCGCAATTGCCGCTGGTAAATAAAATTTATAAAAGTCAAGTCTGTCTTTCTCTTTGTCTCTCTCTCTGTCTCTCTGTCTCTGTCTCTCTGTCTCTCTCTTTATCTCTCTCTCTCTGTGCTCTGCCAGGCGGTTGCAGTGTACGAGAGGGCCTCCTCCGCCAGGGTCAACTGGGCCAAGTGCGAGGTCCCGTCTGTGTTTGGCGTTCGCTCTGTGCTCCTCCCAGGAGGAGTGAGTTGGCGGGACGACGGAGTCAAGTACCTATGGGTTTACCTGGGGAAACCGCACGACGTCGCTCTGAACTGGACCGAGCTGGCCGACACAATCGAGGCTAAATTACTGACGTGGGCATGCTTCGCTCCGCAGATGTCCTTCAGGGGCCGAGTGCTCGTCGCTAACACCCTGGCAGCATCCGTGTTGTGGCACAAGACCAAGGCCCTCCAGCCTCCTGTTTGGCTACTCACCAGTCAACCGCTCACTCGCGCACTTCGTCTGGCACGGGAAACACTGACTCAGGCCGGGCGTTCTCTGCCTGCCGGTGGGCGAGGGCGGCCAGGGTCTGGTGGACGTCGCCGCCAGGGTCATGAGTTTCAGGCTCATGACAGTCAGGTGGCTGCTGTACGAGCGGGAGGAGCTACCCTGGAAGTTGCCGGCCCTCGCCCTGCTGAGGAATGCAGGGGTATGCCTGGGGTATGGAAAGGAGCTCTTCCTGATGGACCTGAGCCTGGTCGACTACACGAGGCTGCCAAGTTATCACCAGAGCTTCTTGGACACGTGGCGGAGCTTCGAGTGGAGCAGAACAGGCGCGCCCTGCGACCTCGCGCAGTTCCTGAACGAGCCCTTGTTCTGCAACGGCCTTTTCCAGGGAATCAGAGGAGAGAAGACCCTGGCTCTACGCCTCACATCAGCATGGCTGTGGACAGTCTTCCACCTCGTGCAAGACCCATCAGCCCAAGTGGAAGACCGCAGCTGAGATCGCCAGCACCGCGGGACTCCGCTCCACGCTCGCCGGGGAGAAGCTGCTGCGGGACGTGCTCCGCGCCATGAAGGAACTGCGCCTGAAGCTGGAGGCGCCGGGGGATGGTGGCGCCCCCCCCCCTCCTCCTCTATCCCAGAGCTGCGCTTCTCCTGTGCGCAGCCCCCCGGCCACAGCGACTCCGGCAAGCTACTGAAGCTCCGAGGCTGCAGGAACGTGCCCCTGAAGAACGCCCCAAACACAGCGTTCCACACGTGCTGTGTCAAGGCGCTGCATTCCCGGGACCTGGCCTACCTACCGGACACCAAATGGAGAGACCATTTCTCTCCCCTCATTGTGGCCGCCCCCCAGTGGAAACAAACGTACAAGTCTCCCCCGTAGCCAAACGCTGCGGTGACCTCCAGTGGAGGTTGGCACACTGCACGTTGCCATTGGCCGTGTGGCTCAGTCGAATCTCGCCGGGGGTAACAGACTTGTGCATTTCCTGCGGTGCCAGGGAGGATCTGCCCCACCAGTACTTACGCTGCCAGCGGCTCAAATCCATGTTCCGCCTTTTGGGAGACATCTTCAGGAATCTGGGGGTGTCCTTCTACAACAGCAGCTTCGTATTTGGGGTGGTGCCTTACCTGGCTAACAAGCGCCATGACCTCGCCAACTTCGCCTGTGCTCAGGCGAAGATGGCGGTGTACAGAACGAGAAAAAAGATGCCGCAAGGTGACACTGACGGCTGCTCTTTGCTTCCAGTGTTCAGGGGCCTGCTCAAGGCGCGGCTCCGGCTGGAGCATGCCATGTACCACACACATGCCGGTGATGTGCAGCGCGTCTTCTTCGAACGCTGGGGATCCGGACAAGCCCCTCTCTGTACCAACGTGGACGGCACCCTCGTGTTCACCTTTTGAAGCGCTCACTCATCACCGTGGCGTGCGCGATGACCACCACCACCACCACCACGTGACTTTTCTGTGTGTTGTGCGTTATGCATTTAGCGCCACAACGCATGGATGTACAGAGTTTGTTTATTTTGTTTGCCGGTGACTTTGTGCGTTTAATATCGGAATCGCCTCCAGTGCTGTTGCTGCTGGCGGCAATAAAAGTTGTTTAAAAGTCAAAGTCTGTCTCTCTCTCTTTGTCCCTCTCTCTCTGTCTTTCTTGACCTCTGGGCGGAACTCATCCCTCCTAGCCACCCACAGCCAGGTGGAAATTCCACATTCCTAGTCCCTTTAAAGGAGACAACTCCCGACTGCACAAACCGTTCATAACTCGATCATTATATGTGCTTGAAGGTATTGCTGTGTGTGCGTGTTATCCGGTGAGTGCATTGCGCAATGAACCTGACCCCTAGGTAGACTCAGCCTCAAACGAGCACCTGGTGTGATGTGTAAACGTCGCCACTGGGGAGACAAAGGCGGCCGGGCGTGCTGCTGGCTACGGGACTGCGAGGCTCTGGATCTCGATGCGAGTTCACGGTGCTCGGTGAGAGCCCTCGACGCCGCCGCTTTGTCGCCGGCGAGACGACAGCGCCCCCCGGTGGTGGGAGACGGCGAGACGGCAGCGCCCCCCGGTGGTGGGAGACGGCGAGACGACAGCGCCCCCCGGTGGTGGGAGACGGCGTAGCCACAGCCCCGCAGAGACACGCCGCGAGACGCGCACAGCGCGCCTCTGTGCGAGACTCTGGGTCTATGCGGCTGTGATGCCACTGCAGCGGAGCCGCTCTGCTGACGCCCCACCTGCGATCCCACCACCACCAAGCAGCCTGGCCGACACTGCTCTTCCCTCACCGCCCCCCCACATGAACACACGTGTCACACACCCCCACATGGAGCCTCGCGGGGAGCCCTCCTCGTGATTTGTACGCGCGCGGGAAACCGCGGAGATGTTCGCGCGTTGGGCTGCCATTTTGTACGCGCGCGGGAAACCGCGGAGATGTTCGCGCGTTGGGCCACCATTTTGTACGCGCGCGGGAAACCGCGGAGATGTTCGCGCGTTGGGCCACCATTTTGTACGCGCGCGGGAAACCGCGGAGATGTTCGCGCGTTGGGCCGCCATTTTGTACGCGCGCGGAAACCGCGGAGATGTTCGCGCGTTGGGCCGCCATTTTGTTAGCGCGTGGGAAACCGCGGAGATGTTCGCGCGTTGGGCCGCCATTTTGTTCGCGCATTGGGCCGCCATTTTGTACGCGCGCGGGAACCACGGAGATGTTCACGTATTGGGCCGCCATTTTGGACGCGGGTCGTGTATGCGCCCACCATTTTGTACATACACGGGTGGCCTCGGAAATGTGGGGATTGTATGTGTGAACTATTTCTGGGCAAGAGCAAGCATTTTTTTTTTGTACCACGTGGATTTCACATTTTAAAAAAAAAATGTAGATACTGGGGCAACCCTGAAGTGAGAATTTTTTTTTTGCCCAGTACATGGGTCAACCGGGAAGCATGGCTTCCTTGACCCGGGATGTTGTACGACATCCAACGTTATACCTTGGGTGCAGAATACTGGCTCGACCTTGAAGCATGCCTTCCTTGAGCCAGTACATGGGTCGACCCTGAAGTGCGACTTCTCGACCTGGGACGTAGGGAGACGTCCAGAATGTTAAGTGGTGTGTGTAGGTGGGTGTTAGACTTTCAGTTTTCGCTCTATTGCCGCCTGTGGGGTGGAACGGTAGCAGAGCGGTGTGAGACCCTGCCATCCATGGGGTAGTTGGGCGATTGATTTGATTACCGGTGTTGGTTGTGCATCCAACGCGTCGGAATCTGTGTATTTTTGCTTTTCTTCCTTCCGCCGGGCGGAATACAATCATCTCCACTTCCCTGGGCCGGGTGGCTGGTTGTGTCCGACGAGCTGAGGCGCAGGCTTGTGGTGCTGTGCCTCAGGAGGTGGTTCTTCTCGTCACATGATTCCTGCACCTGCTGCCCTTGGAGTCGTCGGTTGTGCTGACCGGATGTGGACTTGAAGGGGGAAGTGGAGCGCCCGTACATCACTTTTGCTCATCTTGTTGCCCAACTCCTGGGGAGGGGCCGTGGCCTTTTTCGAGTTCCCCCAGGACCTCCAAGGAGAGCATGCTTGCTTCCCCTGGGGGCTCAGCTACGCAAACTCGTTCGAAGACCGGCCGCTGTGCATGACTCTCACACCTTCTTGATTGCCTACGCCATTGTCAAACAGTGACTTTCATATGTCGGTGCGTGTGTGCGTACAATTTGCTATGGGTGGGCTGTGCTGAGGGATAAGCGGGTTAACCAGTTCTTCTCGGTGTACGTGTTGTTGTTCCCCTCGTCCCATACGTTCTTCCTTTTACCCCCTCTCGGTACGTGTACATATGTTCTCGCAGTAATTATTATCGTCGCCGGTTATTTGTTGATGTTGTTGTTGGAGGCACACTGGTTTTCTGTATTGTCACTGCCGGGACAGCTGTTTTTTTTACATGGGGGAGGGTGATGTAATGATTGTGGTATCATTACTGTGTGCACACGTATGACGTCACTGTGCCGGGAGCGTTACTACCATGTGGACCTACACACACACACATGACGTCATCCCGGCTGGAGGAGGGAATGACGTCAGGGCCGGTGCTGGACACGTGACCGGATCCCAGTGGGGGCCGGGGGTCCAGGGGGACCTCGGGGGGCACGTGGACAGCAGGGGGGGCTTCGAGAGGGTGCTCGAAGGGAGGCGTGGCCGGGGTGGGGCCCGGGCACGCCAAGCCCCATATAAGCAGCCGCCTCAGGAGGTTCGAGGCTGTTCCTGCGGAGAATGAAGATGCCAAGAAGAGAAGGAATCCAGTGAGCAGACTGCCAGCAGCCACCTGGCTGGGTCACGCTGGAGTAGCTAAGAGACAAGTGTGTGTTAGCTAGGGTAGGTCGGTGGTCACCACCCTATGTGTAGAGTAAGAGTAACTGTTGAGTAACCGTTGTGTTCATTAATAAATGAGTGTTGCCTCCCAAGAAGTGTGTGCGCCTAAATTGAACCCATTACACAGAGATGCCACTCGCATGAATGACGCTGCAGCATAGACAAAACTTTTAAATGTTTTATTATGTCACATGCATCGTAATGTACGAATATAATCTGTGGATATGAAATGGGAATCTGTGGGGTCGTCGCATCTCGCCAAGATCGTGAGGCTGGCTTTGGTGGGAGGGGGGGGGGAATTCATACAGCAGTGGACCGATCATGGCCCACTGTTAATAACAGCAAGGATGACGTCACGAATACGATGACGTCACGTCTGCGATTATGACGATGACGTCACAGCTGCGATTATGACGCTCCCACTGCCACGTTCACCTCGCAGCAGCAGCAGCAGCACAGGGACAGCTGCCACCAGGGGAGGGGGGTCCCCCCCCCCCCCGGGCGAGAGACCACAGGTGGGGGCCATTGGCATGGTCGAGATGAGAGGCGACGATGATGATGGCGCGGCGGCGAGGCAGAGCGAGGGAGCCCCACACGTCAAGTCCCCGTTTCCTGACGTCTGTTGAACGTTGACCGGCGTCGTGCCCCCACCCCCCCTCCCCACGCTGCGTCTACCACGTGGTGAGATTGGCGATCACGTGTTGTCCATCAGACACAATGTAGTCCCTCAGCCCTGCGCACAGCACCGCCACACACAGACAGGGGGGGGTGGGGGTTTAGTTGCGTGATCCGGGTCGAGCCAAGAGAAATAAAAGGGGGGCCGCGGTGGCTATGAGATGTTAACAACCTCGCCTAGTAGGCAGGAGGTCGTGAGTTCGATCCCGACCCTGACTTGCAGGATGGAAGGGTCTCATTTCGCGCGAGTGAGCGAGTTGGGGTGTGTGTGGGTGAGCGAGATGGCGAGCAACTGGTTGAATGAGTAAGCGAGCGTGTGTGTAGGCGAGAGTGGGCGAGTGATTAGGTGGGTAGGAGGATGAGCGTGAATGAGGGCGCGAGTGAGATTGGTGTTCAGTGGCCGGGTGACAACTCAAGAGCGAGAGAGACACCAGGACAGGAGACAGAGGAAGAATCTCCTTTTCCGATCAACTCTGGGTTGGTTCTCACCAAACGCGACTAAAGCAGCAACAACCCCCCACACTAAACAAAGTTCAGCACAACAGCGAAACACTTGAGGGTAGTGGCTTGGGATGGGAGAGCCTCCCTGTTCACACAGTTGGTAGCGCAGGCAGTCCTGGCGTCTTAGTATAAACAATGTAACGCTTTTATTTTACCAGGTAGAGAGCTCATGGAGATAATGCCTCCTTTTCAGAAGCGACGTGGCTATCAAAAGTATAGCTCAACCAAGTGGCTTATCCTTGTGGAAATGTAGCAACAGACGAATCATCTAAGCAACGCACGCCGATTCGAAATTAGGGGAAAGGAAAAACAGACGACCCGAATAAAAGTCGAGTCTGAACCACGGGGAGGGAGACGCAGAATCTCAAAATCCAGAGATGGAACCCACGAGACCTCCTGCACGCCAAGCGAGGGAGACGACATCTCACGGCATCACGGCTCAAGCCGCTCGGCACTCCGTTGGAGTCGCACGCGGCTGGAATCAGCTGCCACTGGGGGGGGGCTGCCCCCTCGGCTCGAGGCCTCACGGCAGCAATCGCGGTGGCCCCCGAACCGGTGACCCCCCCTCCCCCCCATGCCCTGAGGCGGCCAACGGCTCCTCACCTTTGTCCAGCGGGGTGCTGGGAGCATCCAGCAGCTGCCAGTACTGGTGCAGAGCTGAGTCCGCCACGAGTCCGTTCACCTCCACCAGGTACGGCCCAAAGCTCGACGACTTGGTCTTGAAGCTGCACACCACCACCACACACACCACACACAACAACCTCACCACCCCCCTTACTCCCTCTCACCACCTCCATCGCCTTACCTCCCTCACCCCCCCCACACCTCACCACCCCCCCCTCCCCACCCCACTCCGCCATCCCTTCATCACCCCCCCCTCTCCACCCCCCCCCTCCCCTCACCACCCCCCCCTCCCCTCACCACCCCCCCCTCCCCTCACCACCCCCCCCCCCTCCCCTCACCACCCCCCCCCCTCCCCTCACCACCCCCCCCCTCCCCTCACCACCCCCCCCCTCCCCTCACCACCCCCCCCCTCCCCTCACCACCCCCCCCCTCCCCTCACCACCCCCCCCCTCCCCTCACCACCCCCCCCTCCCCTCACCACCCGCCCCTCCCCTCACCACCCCCCCCCTCCCCTCACCACCCCCCCCCTCCCCTCACCACCCCCCCCTCCCCTAACCACCCCCCCTCCCCTCACCACCCCCCCTCCCCTCACCACCCCCCCCTCCCCTCACCACCCCCCCCTCCCCTCACCACCGCGTCTCCCCTCACCACCGCGTCTCCCCTCACCACCCCCCCCTCCTCTCCACCCCCCCCTCCTCTCCACCCCCCCCCCCCCTCTCCACCCCCCCCCCTCTCCACCCCCCCCTCTCCCCCCCCCCCTCTCCCCTCACCACCCCCCCCCTCTCCACCCCCCCTCTCCCTCACCACCCCCCCCTCCCCTCACCACCCCCCCTCCCCTCACCACCTCCATCGCCTCACTTCCCCCACCTCTCGCCACCTCCCTCCCACACCTCATCACCTCCATCCCCCCTCACCACCCCCCCTCCCTCCCCTCACCCGCCCCTCCCTCCCCTCACCATCCCTCCCTCCCCTCACCCCCCCCCCCTCCCTCCCCTCACCACCCCCCCTCCCTCCCCTCACCACCCCCCCTCCCTCCCCTCACCACCCCCCCCCCTCCCTCCCCACCCCCCCCCTCCCTCCCCTCACCACCCCCCCCCCACCTCACCACCGCCCCCCCACCTCACCACCCCCCCCCCACCTCACCACCCCCCCCCCCCCCCCCCCACCTGAATTGGAGGGCGTTCTGTGCCTGGGCGGCCTCCAGCACGCGCAGGAGGTTGGAGCCGCTGGGCACGGTTACGTGGACGCTGTTGTTGAAGCTGTGGCCCAGGCCGTCGGTGGCCGTGTAGGTCACTCCGATGGGCCACGACGAGTTGCCGGCGGGCGGGCGCAGCGTCAGCTCGCTGCGCAGGTCGTGGACGCTGTCTGCAGAGCAAGCGGCAGGAGAATTAAATCGCTCTCGTGACACCGCAGGGTGACCACCACCACCATTCACATAGTGCAGCAGGGTGACCACCACCACCAATTACAACCCCAAGTGGCAATTGTCCCTGTGCATTGCCTACCATTGACCACAGCCACGCACCTCACCATCCCTACCCCCCCCCCCCCACACACATTGTGCCACGTAGGCCCCACCACCCAGGTCTGCTCACCGTCGTCACCCACGCAGGTGATGCGCGGCACGGCCAGGTAGGTGGTGCCCAGCAGCGCAGGCAGTAGCTGGGCCAGGGCCCCAGGGGAGGCGTTGAACTCGCCGGCCACGGCGGCGGCGAAGAGGAAGGTGCGGGAGGCGTTGCCTCCGTCCCAGCCACTCACGTTCACCCCGCTCCCTTGGGCAGCCTGCAGAGCCTGGTGGGGGTAAGGGGGGGGGGGTGTTTGACTTCTGTGCCAGGCTAGGTGCAGGAGGAGGTCACGGGACAGACCCTGCAGGTGCCATGGGTTGACTGCTGTGCAAGGCTAGGTGCAGGAGGAGGTCACGGGACCGACCCTGCAGGTGCCATGGGTTGACCGAGACGATTTGCAGACACACCACCTGTGCCTCGACTATGCCTTAGCCACCCCAGCGCTCCACTCGTTGTGAGCATCGCTCCTCTGCCCTTTGTTGCTGGAGGGCGACTGCCTCCAACTGCCCAGTAGCGTCCTTCACGAGCCTCCTCCATAGAGGCCGATCTTGACATCGCTTGTATCGATTATCAGAAAGTCCACTCAGCTCAACATTCTTCTGTCAGCCTATGCCGTGCCCGGTTAGCCCCCTCTATCCAGGCAAACAGAAGCTGCTTGGGTCACGCAGTGGATGGGCATGCGGGCTACATGTCCCAGCCAACGCAGCTTTGCCTGCCGGAGAGGAGCTCAATGGGACCACCCAAATCTTTCAAGGATATGCGAGCGGTTCAGACAACCCAGCCTGGTTAAACCCAGGATGGATCGGAGGCATGCCAGCCGATATGTTTCTAACCAACGCAGGTTTTCCATTGGGGGGTGGCCCACGTTTTCCAAGCATAGAGGAGGTCGTAACACTTTATGTAAGCTACAGGCCAGGTAGTTTCCACACAGCGTTATGCAGCAGATGAAAATATATTTCCACCCAACCGATTCTGAGGGAGACCTCTGCTGTCAAACTAGAGCTGGTCATGAGCACACTGCCCAATATGGCAAAACTCCACTATCTCTGGACAATTGCCCCATAAACAATGGAGAGTTGAGCAGGCGGAGTGTTGAACTTCTTTTGCACTGTATTTAGCAAACTTTGCGAGCTTTGGTGCAACTGAGACACTCCAGGTTTAGCAGGTGAGCCTCCAACTCCTATGAGTGAGCAGCAATCACCAGTATACATAACATGGTTAACCAATAGGGAGCTATTTTCTAGACCTTACCCGGGCATCGATCAGCCTCGTATTGTATTTGTACCAGATGGAAATTGCTCCAGTACAGCCACAGAACGCTTCTCCAACTACGTGGTTCCAAAAAACGTGAAATAATGTCGGAGCATGTAGACATCCCTGTCGGGACCCAAGGTGACCAACGGCTTCGACTCCTGGCCATATCGTTACACCCGGGCCTGCCCACCATCATGAAGGTCCTTAATTGTTGTGAGCAGAGTCAGAGTCTCATAAGGCACTTGCATTGAATACGCCAGGGCTTGGGGGTTGTTCTAATATTGGCCTTGGCCAGGTCAATACAGCAGATGCATAGAAGGCATCCAACTAATCGGCTTTGCCTGCATTCCTCCACGGATATTCACCTGTGGTGGGGGCATAAGCCACTACCAACATTCCTTGCTTCCCACGATGGGGAGTAGAGCCCACTCCTCACCGCCACGCTCCCACACCTCCTTCATTCCGTTATTCACAAGAGCCACCTCGCCGTTTCCTTCCCCCAGCGGAGGAATGTCCATCCCTCAGTGACTGGACTCAGAACCCAAATGGCAATCAACTGAGACCACAGCCCCCCACACCAGCCAGCCCCCCCCCCCCCACCATCCCCCCACTTCCACCATCCCCCCCACCCCCACCTGCCCCCCCCCACCAGCCCCCCCCCCCCACCAGCCAGCCCCCCCCCCACCTGCACGGCGAGGGCGGTGCTGTAGATGTTGCCGATGGCTCCGTTGCCCGAGCGCTGCCCCAGCAGCAGCGTGGCGAGGCTCTGGGCGGCCGCGGTCACGGCAGCGGCGAGCGTGGGGGGTCCCAGGAGCAGAGTCCCCTTGAGGCACGACAGCGCCACCAGCGCCTGGGATGCCTCGTCTGGTGGGGGGGGGGGGGGGGGTCGATGCTCGCTCAGCCGCCCACTCTTCACTCGTCCAGCCCCTCCGTATTGCTCTCACAAGAGGCAAAGATCACCCCCGTACCGCCTACAAAGTCACGTGGGCCAAGTGCCGTGAGCAAGTAGCAGCACCTATCAAGTCCAGCACAACGCCATGCTGCCTTCGACTCCGCAGTGGTGATGTTTATTAGACACCACAGCAGGCGACGGATTTAAAGACCAAACGAACCTAGGGGACGCCCAGGACCGGTTCGGATGCGCCACCGATGGTTGTTCCGCGAATGGGGATCATCCAGCTCGGTGTGGCCGGGTTCGTAGCGCGGTGCACACCGACCGCTGCTCTGCCGCTCACCCGGCACATTACTCGCCACTCGCTCACGGCAGCCCCGTGTCTCCTCAAGAGCCCAAGCTCACTCGTTCTCGGAGCGATGCTCGTCCGCAGACCCCTGTAGGCCCTGCAGAATTGGCCCAGCTCAGTCACTCGCCACTCGCTCAGAGTCAGTCGCTCACCGATGGAGTGGGGCCTGTCGCCAGAGCCCTGGAGCAGGGCCCAGCTCGCGAGCTTCTCCACGGCGTCGGGGTCCACGCTGGCGTTGAGGATGCACAGCGCCTGCGTGGCGAGCGCGTACTGGTAGTAGGTGGTGAGCGGCCGCCCTGCCAGCGCTGAGGGTGGAGAGCGCAGAGGGGGGGGGGGGGTCCACCACTGCCGCCACGACTACCACCACCACCGCCGCCACGACTACCACCACCACCACGACCACCACCACGACCACGACCACGACGACCCGGCGACGTGACTCCTGACAACGTCGCCCCAACTACGTCGCCACTACATCACCCCCCCCCCCAGCGTGTCCCCACGTCGCACCGCTCCTCATCCAGCCGCTGGTCCAGGATGCCGAGGAGGTCGACGCGGACCCAGCCCAGGCGCATGGCCTCCACGGGCAGGCACGAGGCCCTCAGCGCCAGCACCGCCAGCGCCAGTTGCCCCGACGAGACGGCCTCGTCGCGTTGGGACCCCTCGTCCGAGTCGGTCACCTGCCCTGGGCAGCTGTGCGACAAAATCCCATCACCCGCGTTAGAACGGCGTCTGCATGTACAACTTCTTTCGCACCATACGTAGCCTAATCGTGTTAGTTGAGAGGTGTGGAGGTGGGATGGGGGAAAGACAACAAGAGAAGACGATCAAGACAAAAATAAGAGGTTTTACCCATTCTGGCAATCAGACGGGGGTTGTGTTAAGAAGTTCAAACACCGAATGGAACCTGGGAGTGGTGGCGGTCGGCGCTACGCTGCCCTGCGAGCCCGGCTACGTCCCGAGGTTCCGATTCTCGCTCACGGCCACCAACACCGTGTGATGATTCTCTGAACCGATCCTGGCCTTCCCCTAGGTCGACTCGGCCTCAATCGAGTACCTGGGTGGAGCGGCGTGCGCAATCATCGCCACTGGGGAGACAAAGGTGGCCGGGCGCGGTTGCCGGCCACCCACCCCCTCGCGTACCAGTGCCGGCATTCATTAAGCGCCGACACTCGCCAACGGCACTTGCCCCAACAGTCCGTTAAGGCTATACGGGGGATCTTTATCTTTGGAACCTGCGGTCGAGGTGCAGATCAGCGAGGCGCGCCAGCAGCTGCTTGAGGAAGGAGCGCTCCATGCGCAGGTTGTGCACCGGTGCCAGGCGCAGTGCACACAGCACCGTGGGGTCGAGCAGGAAGCTCTCGTCCGAGGGTCGCGTCGAGTTGAGCAGCACCTTGACCACGGCCAGGACCACGGCCGACTCGGCCGCCGGTGCCGCTAGGGGGAGGGGTGGGGGAAGAGCCACGAGGAGGTGGGGGGGGGTCTCAGAGCACCACCTGCAGTGGCTCGCCGTCGAACAAAGGCGGTGGGCACCGGCTTCTGTGGCCGTCTGGAACGCTCTTGCTTCTGATGATAGGAAGCCATTGGGAGACGTGCATTTTCCCAATCATCGCCGAGGTTGACAAACTCGTTACTTTAGAGCCGCTTTGTGCGTTTAGTTTGTTGTGGTCACCCCCCCACCCCGCATCGTAGGGTTGGCTATGTACGGTGCGAAAGAAGTGGAACACACAGTAGCGTGCAGTCTGTGTGTGTGTCTGTGTAGGGGAGCGGTAGTGCAGCGGTTAGCGCACTGCGCTATAAACTCGGTGACCCGGGTTCGATTCCTGCTCACGGCCAACACCAGCGACGATTATCTGAACCGGTCCCGGGCCTCCGCTAGGTCGACTCAGCCTTAAGAGTACCTGGTGCGGTGTGTAAAAACATCGCCACTGGGGAAACAAAGGCGTTCGGGCGTGGTGCTGGCCACCCACCCCCTCGTGTACCGTTCCGGCCTTCATAGGCGCTCGCTAACAGCACTTGCCCCAACAGTCTGTTAAGGCTATACGGGGGATCGTTGATCGTTGGATCGTCGTGTGTGTCTATGGGTCTCCTGACAAGGGGCTGTGTTAAGCGGTCACGACCAATCCTGCAGGAGCGGCGCGCGATGACTTTCCGGTGCAGCCGAGCGAGGGTGAACAAAGACGTAAAATAAACTCCTCCAGGTGCGGGAAAAGTACGGAAAACCGGTGACACCGGCTGGGTGAGATGAACACCACCACGCCGTGTTCATCTCCACCACCACCACCACGCCGCGTTCATCTCCACCACCACCACCACCACCACGCCGTGTTCATCTCCACCACCACCACCACGCCGTGTTCATCCTCCTCCACCACCACCACGCCGCGTTCACCCCCCACTCCGTTACCGGCGACGGAGCTGTGCAGGACGGCGACTGCCGCCAGCAGCAGCAGCAGCGCCACAGCGTGGCCAGGGCGAGCCATGACGAGCGAGCAGCCTCCTCTCACTGCAGAGACACCACACAGAGACACGGCACAGACAGAGACACCGAGAGAGAGAGTCACTCACACAGACACCACGCAGAGACACGGCACACACAGAGACACGGCACAGACAGAGACACCGAGAGAGAGAGAGTCACTCACAGACACGGCACACACAGAGACACCAAGAGAGAGAGAGAGAGTCACTCACACAGACACCACGCACAGACAGAGACACCGAGAGAGTCACTCACACAGAGACGCGGCACAGACAGAGACACCAATAGAGAGAGAGTCACTCACACAGACACCACGCAGAGACACGGCACACAGAGAGACACCAAGAGAGAGTCACTCACACAGAGACACGGCACAGAGACACCGAGAGAGAGAGAGAGACACTCACAGACACGGCACACACAGAGACACCAAGAGAGAGAGAGTCACTCACACAGACACCACGCAGAGACACAGGCACAGACAGAGACACCGAGAGAGAGAGAGTCACTCACACAGACACCACGCAGAGACACGGCACACACAGAGACACCAAGAGAGAGTCACTCACACAGAGACACGGCACAGACAGAGACACCGAGAGAGAGAGCCACTCACACAGGCACCACGCAGAGACACGGGCACAGACAGAGACACCAAGAGACATTAACTCGCGACCATTACACGGCCACACGAGGTGTTCTTGCCATTTGCGTTGAGATTTCGACCTAGGAGAGAACCTGTTCGGACATTTGCCACAGTGTGAACGCGTGAGGCGTTCACCAGCGATAAATTAATAATTCACGTGCCCCCCCCCTCTTTCTCGGGGTAATCGTCATCTCCAGGGTCCATCCACTGCTGGATGGAGATCCATGTGGTGATGATGAGGTATCTAGCCTGCGCGTGCTCTCCAATCCACGTGTTCCCAATCTAATTTCAGTCTCCGATTAAAACGAAACGTCGAAATCTAAACGTTTGAACTCAACTCGAATATTTTATTATTCACGTGGTGGGGATTGTTGATAGCGGCAGACAACACAACCTGAAGCCTACATCGCAGACTCGACTATAGAGCGACTTTATTAGTCACCTGGGGATTGTTGATAGCAGCAGACAACAACCTGAAGCCACGATTATCAATGTGCAGGAGAGAAACGGGAGCAGGAACCCTGCAGACAAACCCAGGCTCACCGTGAGTAGCGAGACCCACGCAGACTGCAGGTTCGAGTCGTTTTGGTTCGCAGGTCACCTCCGAACCATAACAACTTGAACCTGCAGTCAGTCCCAGTCTCGCGTTACCGCTGTTGCTGCGCTCATCACAGCGCTAACGCAGACTCGTCATTAAACTCACCAAAATTCAGCGGCAGCGGCGCCGGTAAGTAGCCAGCGGCAGCAGCAGTGGAGCGAGGCTGGCTGTGGAGAGAGAGCAGCAGCAGCAGTGGAGCGAGCCTGGCTGTGGAGAGAGAGCAGCAGCAGTGGAGCGAGCCTGGCTGTGTAGCGAGGCTGGCTGTGACCAAAGCGAGCCCCGCGCTCCCCGCTATTTAAGCTCCCAGGGGGTGCGGCTCCGACACGCCCACAACGAGCGCTGCCGCGTGCACACCAACTCCTGCGGGGGGTGGGGGTGGGGGGTGGGGGTGGGGAGCGGGGGGGTGGGGAGCGGGGGGGTGGGGAGCGGGGGGTGGGGGGGGTAGGGGAGTGGGGGGGTGGGGAGCGGGGGGGGGAGTAGAGGTGGGGGGGTAGAGGTGGGGGGGGGGGTAGAGGTGGGGGGAAGAGGTGGGGGAGTCGAGGTGGGGAGGTGGGGGGTAGAGGTGGGGGGGGGGGGAGTGGGGGGTGGGGGAGCGAAGTAGCGGATGGGTGGGGAGCGGGGGGGGGATGGGGAGGTAGAGGTGGGGGGGGGGGTAGAGGTGGGGGGGAGTAGAGGTGGGGGGGTAGAGGTGGGGGGGAGTAGAGGTGGGGGGGTGCAGTGATTCTAGCGCTGCGCTACGAACCCGAGTTTTGATTCCCGTTCACGCCCACCAACCCACCCCAGTGATGGCGATGATCTAAAACCAACTCAGCCTCCCCTCGGTCGTAGGCGTGTTCTGTGTGTGTGTACACGAGTTGGCTGTGTGTGTGTACACGAGTTGGCTGTGTGTGTGTGTACACGAGTTGGCTGTGTGTGTGTGTACACGTGTTCTGTGTGTGTGTACACGTGTTCTCTGTGTGTGTACACGTGTTCTGTGTGTGTACACGTGTTCTCTCTGTGTGTGTGTAGACGTGTTCTGTGTGGGTGTACACGTGTTCTGTGTGTGTGTGTGTACACGAGTTGGCTGTGTGTGTGTGTACACGAGTTGTCTGTGTGTGTACACGAGTTGGCTATATGTGTGTGTACACGTGTTCTGTGTGTGTGTGTACACGTGTTCTCTGTGTGTGTGTTCTCGTGTCCCGCTCACGGCCAACACCAGTGACGATTATCTGAACCGGGTCCTCTGCTTACCCGAGGTCGACTCAGCCTCAAATGAGTAGTAACCTTGTGCCGTGCGCAGTAAACATCGCCACTGGGGAGACAAAGGCGGGCAGGAGGGCGTGGTGCTGGCCACCCACCCCCTCGCGTATCCGTGACGGCCTTCGGAGATGCTGCGACTCGCGAACAGCACTTGCCCCAAAAGTCTGTCAAGGCTACACGATGGGGGTACATCTTTGTCTTTGGTCGTAAAAGGCCACGTATATAACAGGCGACGTTTCGGGCAATGACGCCTCCTCATCCTCTTCCTTCATGACACGAGAATAGTGGAGAGGGCCAGTGGGGAGAGCGAGTGAACGACGAAGGCTGGGAACTGCGCGTGCTCATACCCCTGGGGCCCCGGTGATGAGCCTCGCATTGTCAAGGCGATTCCTCACCACCAGCCTTGTATTGTCAGCAGCAGCAGCAGTAGTCAGTCAGGCATTGGTTGCTGTTGTGGTGAAGCTCAATGACGGACACAGGAACACACACTCACTGTGTGTGTGGCCCCTTTCTAGCCGGTGTGACGACGACGATGATGATGACGACCAGGCTTGATGTGAATGTCTGTGTGTGTGTGAGTGTCTTTGTGTGTGTGCCAATTAATTACCACTAAACGACGACCGAAAAATGTAATTAACAAGCTTGTACCGGAGGCCCCGGGGGGACAGGTGTCTATGACGTCTCCTGGCCAAACCCCATTTGGCGGAGCCAGGAGATGTAATCTTTACCCTCGGGGCTCCTCCAGAAACAACAAAAAGCCATTACGGATGGCCACGTGGAATGTTCGAACGCTCACTGCGGAGGAGAGGCTGCCACTCCTTTGTCGGGAGCTGGACCAGTACCGCCTGGATCTCTGTGGTATTCAGGAGGTCCGGTGGACCGGCTCTGGCTCCTGCCACCATGAGGGGTGGACAGTCCTATACTCGGGGCAGGAGACTGCCAAACAACAGGGAGTGGCTCTTCTTCGGAACAAAATAATGAAGGGGGCGTGGGAGCGTGGTGGTGAGGTGTGGGAAGCGGAGACAAAGTGGGAATGACCTTGCTGAGGCTGCGGTGCCTCAAATATTGGAAGAGGAAGTCACTCCCTGTGAGTGGCTGTCTGAAGTGCCATCTGTTGAGGAAGTAATGAAGGCGATCCAGAGTCTGAGACCAGGAAAGGCACCGGGCAGAGATGATCTCCCAAGCGAAATGCTGAGGGAGGGTGGCGTTTGTGCACAAACTGCCCTACATGACATCATAACAACAGTCTAGACCACTGGAGGGGTTCCGCAGGACTGGAATGATGCCCTGGTGGTCGTCATCTTTAAGAAGGGGGACCGCACAGACTGTAACAACTACAGGGGCATCTCACTCCTCAGTGTGCCGGGAAAGGTCCTGGCAAGGATTATTCAACACCGCCTTGCCAGGCACTCTGAGGAGAGGCTTGTGGAGCCCCAATGTGGTTTCAGGAAAGGGCGGTCCTGCACAGATGCCATTTCTTCTGTCCGTTTGCTACAGCAGAGGTGTAGGAAATTCCAACAAGACCTATATCTCAGCTTTATTGACCTGGTCAAGGCCTATGATACCATCAGTGGGCCTGGGCTCTGGGCTGTTCTTCGTGCTTTCGGAGTCCCTGACCCACTGCTCACGATCATTAAGGACCTTCATGATGGTGGGCGGGCCCGGGTAAAACTACGTGGCCGGGAGTCGGAGCCATTCCCTGTTCACCTTGGGGTGCGACAGGGATGTCCTCTGGCTCCAACATTATTTAACATCTATTTCAACCACGTAGTTCGTGAAGCCTTCAGTAGCTGTCCGGAGGAATTTCCATCTGGTATAGATACAATGGGAGGCTGATCGATGCCCGGGTGCGGTCAAGGGATGGCTCCCTATTGTTCAAATACGTTTTGTATGCCGACGACCTGGTAATTGCTGCTCACTCAGAGGAGGTGTTGGAGGCGCTGCTGCTGAACCTGGAGTGAAGAGGTGGGGCCTTACCATCAGCCTCACCAAACGAAGCACCTGCCTGGGTATTTTGTACCATCGGGCACTCTGCCCCCACAACTCTCAATCGGTGATGGGGCAGTTGTGGAGAGAGTGGAGAATTTCCCATACCTTGGCAGTGTGCTCATGACCAGCTCCGGTTTAACAGCAGAGGTCTCACTCCGAATCAGTCGAGCGGCATTATCTTTTCATCGGTTGTGTAACGGTGTATGGTAGCTACCTGGTCTGTCACTCCGCACGAAGCTTCGGGTCTTCTCGGCCACAGTCATTCCCTCCATTCTCTACGCTTGCGTTTTGTTTACGTGACAACTCCCAAACTGATTGGCCGTGTCGGAGCGGTGGAGGGTTTCGACACATTTATACTGACGCGATGTGACCCAACAACCACTATTGTGAGCAATTTAAGAGAGTCGCGATGAAACGTGGTTACGCAATAACAACATCAGCCGTTGCGCAACTCCTCGCCTGCCCAGCAGCCAAGGAGTTGTGGGCGCCGCGCGCGTCTGCGATGTCGCGAGTGGGCGAGTCGGAATGTTCACGCGGTTCACGCGGTTCACGCGGTTCACGCGCTGCGCTCCGAACCCGGCGACCCGAGTTCGATTCCCGGCCACGACCACCACCCGAGCAGCAGCAGTAGCAGTAGTGACGATTATCTGAACCGGTTCCCGGGCCTCCCCTAGGTCGACTCAGCCTCAAATCAGTGGCGTTGGCCGCCCAAGCTGCATTGTGTGCCACGGCGCCGGTAGCCTCCGTCGGCGCCGCTCGCTACTCGCGGCACTTGCCCCCAACGGCGTGTTAAGGCTACACGGGGGATCTTTGTCTTTGGTGTTGCTGCTACTGTTGGTGTTGCTGCTGCTGCGTTTGTTGTTGTTGTGTCGAGGATTTGAGTTAGAGGCACCCAAACCCGTTCTCGTCGCGTTCCTGGCGAGGCTGGCACGTTCGGTCGCTTTTCAAAACCGGATTTTCCAGGGCGGGACGAACGGTGGCAGCCGTGGCAGTCACGCAGCGAATGGGATGAGTCACCCAATGAGCGGTTTCATTCATTCTCAGTGCTAAGTCAACACTCCGCCTGCTGCTGCTGCTGCTGCCTGTGGGTAAACCCCAGCGCCGGTGCTTGGCAATGAGCTTGCAGGATTGCGAAATGTGGCCGTGATGTTTTGCATATGAAGGTGCAGGGGCAGTGTTCATCAGGGAGCTGCGTTCGGGGTGCAGTGTTCATCAGGGAGCTGCGTTCGGGGTGCAGTGTTCATCAGGGAGCTGCGTTCGGGGTGCAGTGTTCATCAGGGAGCTGCGTTCGGGGAGCAGTGTTCATCAGGGAGCTGCGTTCGGGGTGCAGTGTTCATCAGGGAGCTGCGTTCGGGGTGCAGTGTTCATCAGGGAGATGCGTTCGGGGTGCAGTGTTCATCAGGGAGCTGCGTTCGGGGAGCAGTGTTCATCAGGGAGCAGTGTTCATCAGGGTGCAGTGTTTATCAGGGTGCAGTGTTCATCAGGGTGCAGTGTTTATCAGGGTGCAGTGTTCATCAGAGAGCAGTGTTCATCAGGGTGCAGTGTTCATCGGGGAGCAGTGTTCATCGGGGAGCAGTGTTCATCGGGGAGCAGTGTTCATCAGGGTGCAGTGTTCATCGGGGAGCAGTGTTCATCGGGGAGCAGTGTTCATCAGGGTGCAGTGTTCATCGGGGAGCAGTGTTCATCAGGGTGCAGTGTTCATCGGGGAGCAGTGTTCATCAGGGTGCAGTGTTCATCGGGGAGCAGTGTTCATCAGGGTGCAGTGTTCATCGGGGAGCAGTGTTCATCAGGGAGCAGTGTTCATCGGGGAGCAGTGTTCATCAGAGAGCAGTGTTCATCGGGGAGCAGTGTTCATCAGGGTGCAGTGTTCATCGGGGAGCAGTGTTCATCAGTGTTCAGTGTTCATCAGGGAGCAGTGTTCATCGGGGAGCAGTGTTCATCAGTGTGCAGTGTTCATCAGTGTTCAGTGTTCATCAGGGAGCAGTGTTCATCAGGGAGCAGTGTTCATCAGTGTTCAGTGTTCATCGAGGAGCAGTGTTCATCAGTGTTCAGTGTTCATCGGGGAGCAGTGTTCATCAAGGAGCAGTGTTCATCAGTGTTCAGTGTTCATCAGGGAGCAGCGTTCATCAGTG